ATGAGAAATACAACACCGGAGTTACGAAAAATAGTGATTGTTGCTGGATCTATGAAATGTGAACATATCAGGCAATCTAACTGAAATGTTTACCATGCTATAGTTTTGTCATTGTATATGATTCTTTTTTAGGTGTTTTGATTAAACAAAGGATTAGGACACGACGATTCAAGACTTTTCGAAACTGTTTGCGCAAACACACATGGAAAGCGGTTACTTTTACACCAGTAGTAAAATCTATTGATCTTAAATGCGTAGAGATGACTTTAATCCAAATCGGTGCACTCACGATTCTGCATTTTTTTTCCAAAAATAATATTTGACAGAAGTATCTTCTAATGATTTCCAAATGAAAAAAATTTGAAAGTCTCGTATGTCTACTAGAGACCGTCACAGGGCAGGGCGGCCCTGTATTCTGATAAAACGCTTTTGAAAAATCTAATTCTAATTGATTTTTTCGATTAAAAATCGATAACACTAACACTATATTGATTCAATTTTAGTTCAATTATCTAATTTTTAATACCTTTTGGTCGAGTAAAATTGATTTTTAAAAAGCAATTTTTAATTGGTTAAATGGTACCTATAGCTTAAAATTGACTAGAACTCTAGTCAAATCTGTTTCCGTCTGTATATCTCAAGGAGTATCTATATCATATAACTTTCTTGCTCCAGAAGAACAAGAAGTTTATGAACATGGAAAAAAAGTTTTACTAAGAAAACCAAATCAAAAGTTGTCTTGCAATCTGAAGACCCAACTTGGATCGGCTTAATTGAAAATAGTCGATTTTAACTTAAAAACGTTTCCCCATGAATAGAAAGACACCCTATATTAAAATACCATCAGCAAGAGAAATTTCACAGGGCGTAATAGGAGGTCATGAGTTTTCCTGACTGTTTTACGGTAATTCTGCAAATTTGCAAGATGTAACATCTAAAAACCTAGGTGTTGAATAAACAACAATGTTTTGTAATTTAAAGCAGGTTTTTCTGGCAAAAGTGTTTTACAAGTAATATTTCTTATATTTTGACACATGATCGATAAAAGCTCCTCTGTAAATATCAGGAAAATTCTTCAAAAACCATCAATTTTTTTAGGTAAATGCTAGCAAAAAGGTAGTTCGCAATAGAAGACCATCTTTGAAAAAGCGATGTGAGTTTCGATAATAGAACGCTATTGGCTTTTTATTCCATTGAACTAGAGCTATTGTTTTATCTTTTTCTTGTAAAATAAATATAAATACGACCATCGTATTCATAAAATAAACACAAATGAATTCTTTGTTTTTCAAAAATAAAAATAAATAGATAAGTAAATCTTTATTGTTAAAGGATAAAGTTAAATAAAATGGTTATATCTATAAAATAAAGATAGGTGAATTGTTTACTTTCAAGACTAAAGATAAAATAAAGAATAAAGAAAGGTTTATTTTTATAATAGGCAAATACACAAATGCCTAATATAACAGCAGAATATGTTAATGAATATTTTTTCTTATCATCAACATCACTTTGACATGCGATATAATTAAGAATCAAGCTGGCACATGAAAAATATATACAACAGATTTTTCTGTATATTTCATTTCCATCTATGGTATCATAACTTCTTGTGAACTACTTAGTAAAAGTTAAAGCTTATGTTCTCATAGAAGAAAAAGCTTCTTTACTATTTATTCTATCTTAATTTTATAAATATGAAGATTTTATCTATCTTAATTTTTGATTAATAAAGATTTGTTTTTTACTTACATTTATTTTTCAAATATAAAAAATTTCTTTATTTTAATTTTATAAAGATAAAGATTTTATTTATATTTATCCTTTATTATAAAGAAAGGTAAAAATAAAGTAACACCCTTAAGTGGGACAAAAAAGTAGACAAGATCAGTTTGTCAGTATTTTAATTTACACCAGTTAGCACTAATCACTATCACGCTCCGAAGTATGGCGTGTATCAAAGTTTGATCTAGTGTTACATTTATCAGTACACAAGGATGAGTAATTCACAAAGAAATTCGAGTTTTCAAATTAAAAATTCATAGAAATGCGTTTCACAGCCATCGTGATTAAAGAGGATTAAAGTTGAATAATCATATTAAAATAGAAACACTTTAATCGAGTTTCAAATATTAAACAGTTCATTGAAATTAGATTTGTTTTGAAGTTTTAACACGGGTATTGTTCTCTAGGATACGATTTTTTTGTATTGTCAACTGGGGTTTATTTTGACACTTTTTTGAACATACATGAATAAAATTCTAATATCAAACTTGAAAGTAACCACATAATTTTTATCAAATTTGAGATCCTTTAATAAGGAAACCCAATTTAGTAGCATTGCCCTGTCCTGTCCTGCGGGCAGGGCAGGGCGGAAGATAAATTTATGACTCATCTTCAGGGCAGGGCAGGGCGTGAAAAAAGCGCCCTGTGACGGTCTCTGGTTGCTACATTTCGTAGTGTTGAACAGTATGTATTAGTATGAGTGAAAATATGTCAGATATATGTGGATAGTGTGTGATTACAATTGTATATGCCCAGAGGATTGATACTCATACATACAAGCATACTCATACACTAAGCACTAAGTTGTTCTGTCACGTACTAGGCTATCTTGCTGAGCAGTGCATCTTAATGAAAATTCATAATGCTCTGTATTATGAAATGTAGCAAGTAATTAAAGAAGTACGTTTTTTTTTAATAAAAATTCATGAGACTAAATGAAGCCCAAACCAATGGTTCTTTATGACTTCCGACTTCGACTGAAAAATCAATAAGAGTTTTTATGGAGTCAAAGATTCTCGAAACCTAAATAAGATATCTATATATATAAAGAAGAATGTCTGTTTGTGTGTTTGTGTGTTTGTGTGTTTGTTTGTTCACGATGCACTCAGTCCCTGTAATAGCTAGCGTCATGAAACTTTCCAGAAATGGTCATTACACCTAGGAGAAGGTCGACATGTATTTTTTTCCGAAAAAAAAACCGAATCCTACGCATGCTACAGGCGATCTATGAAACCGACCAATAGGGTTGCAGCATTCGGTACCATAGAACTATAACTGAGCTCAACTTCATGAACACACAGAAAACATGGAACTAGAGGTTTCCGAGTGCGCTGAGTTCGAATCTGAGATACATTTCCCTCCAAATCTAATTGGTTNCTTTTTGTTATAAAATAAATATAAATACGACCATCGTATTCATAAAATAAACACAAATGAATTCTTTGTTTTTCAAAAATAAAAATAAATAGATAAGTAAATCTTTATTGTTAAAGGATAAAGTTAAATAAAATTGTTATATCTATAAAATAAAGATAGATGAATTGTTTACTTTCAAGACTAAAGATAAAATAAAGAATAAAGAAAGGTTTATTTTTATAATAGGCAAATACACAGATACATAATAATTATAACAGCAGAATATGTTAATGAATATTTTTTCTTATCATCAACATCACTTCGACATGTGATATAATTAAGAATCAAGCTGACACATGAAAAAATATGTACAACAGATTTTTCTGTATATTTCATTTCCATCTATGGTATCATAACTTCTTGGGAACTACTTAGTAAAAGCTAAAGCTTATGTTCTCATAGAAGAAAAAGCTTCTTTATTATTTATTCTATATTTATTTTATAAATATGAAGATTTTATCTATCTTAGTTTTGGATTAATAAAGATTTTTTTTTTACTTACATTTATTTTTCAAATAGAAGAAAAATTTCTTTATTTTTATTTTATAAAGATAATGATTTTATTTATATTTATCCTTTATTATAAAGAAAGGTAAAAATAAGGTAACACCCTTAAGTGGGATAAAAGAGTAGACAAGATTAATTTGTCAGTATTTTTATTTACACCAGTTAGCACTAATCAGTATCACGCTTCGAAGTATGGCGTGTATCAAAGTTTGATCTAGTGTTACACTTATCAGTATACAAGGATGAGGCATTCACAAAGAAACTGGAGTTTTCAAATTAAAAATTCAGAGAAATGCATTTCACAGGCATCGTGATTAAAGAGGATTAAAGTTGAATAATCTTATTAAAATAGAAACACTTTAATCAAGTTTCAAATATGAAAAAGTTCATTGAAATTAGATTTGTTTTGAAGTTTTAACACGGGTATTGTTCTCTAGTATACGATTTTTTTCATTGTCAACTGGGGTTTATTTTGACACTTTTTTGAACATACATGAATAACATTTTAATATCAAACTTGAAAGCAACCAAATAATGTTTATCAATTTTTGAGATCTTGTAATAAGGAAACCCAATTTAGTAGCCCTGCCCTGCCCCCAGGATAGGGCAGGGCAGGGCGGAAAAAAAATTTATGACTCATCTTCAGGACAGGGCGGAAAAAAAATTCATGGCTCATCTTCAGGGCAGGGCAGGGCGTGAAAAAAGCGCCCTATGACGGTCTCTGTTATATTTATAGTTGATGATAAGAAATTTCAATAACTCTTATTCAATATGAATAATAAGAAGAAAATATACAACTTAATTTCATTATTTTTATTCTAATAAAATAAAATTTTTACAATTTATTTCTTTCAATAGAAAACCTCAAATATTTATATAGATAACAACAATAAACGAATCATTATGAATATTTGAGGTT